TGTCCAACTAGAGTTTTTCGCTATCGAGAGAGGTGTCAAGTGGCCGATGGTCCTGCAGCAACATTGCACTTCGGACGTGCAAAGCGCATCCCAAATGATGAGCCTACTCTATAGAGGTTATTCAGAGTTTTTTGGGCGGCTCCAATATCGTTAAAAAGCAAGACAATGTCGCTTGTATAAACAAGATCAACTGGCTTTTCACCAGGCGGCACCTCAACACCCATAGTGGAGTCAGAAACAACGTTGAGCACAAATGTTGCAATTGGGTCACCCTGACGAACGCCACTTATTGTCGGGAAGATATCCGACACGTAACCGTAAACTCTGCCGTGGCTTGTGATGTTCGAGTACTGGGCACATCAAATGTCCACATGTTGCATGGAAACATCTTACTGGGTCGGACGCATTCTTGCACTTGGGGAACCATTACTGTCGGTCTACTGTACTTGTGTCGCTGCTCTAGCACCTGCCGCGGAGTGATTGTATGGTATATGTAGCTCTGTCCTGGGCCAAAACCTGTTGCTCTTTCCAACCCTGGGATTCCTGTTCCGCTACAAGTCAGCCGACAGGATTGGAGGCTAATACTTTTGTCACCACCATTGTTGGGCCAACATTCGTTGCTATTACCCTTTTTGTATTTTTCCACTGATCGATTCACTCCATTTAGCTGGAATGGTCTCTTTCCAGACCTGTTCGATCAGGGGAGTCAGTGCTTTGTGGGCTCATAAGAATCCGGACTAGCAGTTCGAAATGATTGAGGGTTGTGATCGCGCTTCGTACCTCAGCCTTCGACGTAAGTTCTAAACTAACCGGCCATGGCTTAGCCTGAGTAGAAAGATGTCTATGAACAAAGGACCAGCTGAACTGTTCTCGAAAGTGCTTCACCAAACGTGCCAGCCGGCGCTCCTTATTGTAAATCAGGTCGCCTGGGATGTCTGATTATCGCATTGACAGCTGATCTAGACTAATCTTTCGTCAACTCAGGCAATCTGTCTCGACCCACCACTCTCCATACAAATGGGGTTCTAACTATACGGATCATGGCGTTCTGTATTGCTTTTTATGCAATTTCCAACGATTCCGCTTTGCCTAAAGAGCTAAACCAGGCGTGGGGAGCGAGTGCACTCTTTTTCTTTTGCCCATCCCTATCCCAATTTCTATGTTCCCCACGTGTGAGTGACTGCAGGTACAGTACTGCGATTCCGCCATCTACAGCTGTACTTCCTAACGCCCATTACTCTCCAGCTATCTGTGCTCATAGAGCTTAATTTAACAACTCATGTCAGCAGCCTACAGTCGCACGTACACCAGCTTGTCTGTTGACACATGCTCCATCTCTGAAGCTAGAACACACCCTCACATATCTCATTAGTCGTGCTCACCTTGGCTTTTAATGGTTTTGCGCTTCCTAAGATACTTCTACAGCAGCCACAGATCAAGCTGCGTTTGGCATTTTCCTCAGCCCTTCTACACGTTGGAAAAACCTGGCTTACCAAATCGACAGATAAGAAGCCTAATCACGACCGATCATCGCTGCCTTCGCAGCTTACCCCATGTCCGGTGGGGACGCCACGTGAGCAATGAGCGTGTTTGGCGTCGTGTATTTGATGCAGGAAGGACGAGTGAACCCCTCAGCACCGTTATATCACGCACCAGGCTCCGATGGCTGGGCCACGCGTTGCACATGCCAACAGGCCGACTCCTACGAAGTATGCAACATAAACTGCGGGATGTCTCAGTCATTTCATGCAAGTTTCCCACTCGAAAATTATACAGAAATCATAGATATACGAAAGCGGTCATATGAGATCATTATTTAGCTGACAGTTGGTTAATCGTCGGGCCTTACACTACCACGATAGGTTACGATTCACTGTCAACTTTTTTTGCATTTAAAGCGGCGGCCGCTCTCGATCGATGACAATGGCTTCCAATAGGCTGAGAATGTAGAGCCGCTGGTTGTGCATCAGGACGGTGAATGGCCCATTGGGGTCAACTCGGTGATCGGTGCACTGCAAGTGCCTTGTGATTGCCAAGGCTGCCCAACTTCTCAGTTCATCCGACTCCGCCGTCGCCGAACCAGTCCGGTTGCGTAACCACTTAGGTATGTGCTCATTGATTCTGACGCCCAAACCTCGGTTATCGCGCCCGATATAGCTGTCTCCGCAGCTACAGATGAATTTGCATAAACAATGGGACATGCACTGCCTCGTTATCGGTTTCTTAGTGGAACATATAAGCAGAACTCTTGTTAACCTGAGCCACCGTAATCCAGCTGCCTTGTACGCCCTTTTCGCTGAAGCACTAATACACTTCGCGGTGGTTTTCATAATCTGATCATCTTTGAATGGCAGTTCGATGAAGACAAGTTTCCTCTGAACTGTTGGCACACGATCTGGATTGGACATGTCGCTAATGCGCTTTATAAGCTACATCGGATAACTGTTTGATTGTACTGTCTCGAGTAGGAAATCTCTGTCTGCTTCTAATGTATCCGCAATAAAAATCATGTGAGCTCGATGCAACAGCCTCCGGACGAGCGAGTGTTTGTGTTGCATAGGGGAGAAACTCAAAATGCAAATGCTGACCTGTCCATGTTGCTTTTCAGTAGACTGACTTGCTGATCGAACTATCCATACGCCATGTGATCAGTATGTCTAGGTATGAAAGTTATTTTGGTCTATGCCACGTCATTGTAATGTTCGAGTGCGTGCTGTTTGGTATCTTGGTCGCACGCACAATGTCCTCATCGGAATCCATGATAAGCAGTATATCACTCACATAACGCTTGTATAGCGTCGCCGATTTTGTGGTATCATCTGCGCTCTTTTCGATCATACCCATGAAGACATCGGCTAACAAAGGGCCGAGTGGACTGTCCATTGCAACACCGTCTGTCTTTCGATATGCCTTCCCTTTCAACTAAAACTTCGTGTACAAAAGAAGCATGTGCAGCAACGTTTTCATGGGGAGCTGCAGTCGGATGTTATGCTTCGAGATAACCACACAAAGATAAGCAACAGTTTCGTTCACGGGATGTTATTGGTCAAATTGTGGTCAAACTTACCTTCCAAGTAAGGCAATAGTTCGAAAATGACAAAGTATGCTTTATTATGTATTTTCTGACAGCTTCAAGCATGTTCAGCCATTTAACAATGACGTAGTACGGTGAATTGGCCATGGAAATAATTGGTCGCATAGGCATTCCTTCCTTATGCACCTCTGGCAAACCGTACATTTGTTGAATATGGGTGTCCACAGCCTTTAGTTTTTGATATTGTTTTTCACACATAAACCCATGAAGTTTTAAGATCTTTAGTTCGCTTCAAACTTGCTCCTGGACTACAGGAACAATGTCAAAGGCGGTCTCCTGCTGAAACTGTACAGTATTGTCTCCATCTTACGTAAATAATCTGGATTGTCCACTCTGGACCCCTTATCAGGTTCCAATATAACAATGTTCCAGCTCACGGATTGCTTTATACTGCTTTACAGTGAAACACGTCTGCTGTCGTATTGGGGCACTGAAGGAATAATACGATCTATCCACTAACCTAATTCAGCTTGAATTTGGAAGCACGCTGTGTGATTGGGTTGCGGCTCGCAACTCTATTGTGACCTCGGCTCACTTTGAGGTAAACCTCGGTCATCCCGATATCGAGGACCGTATCCTGAACGGATATATTTGGGTGTTGCTCTTCCCAACACTGGCACCCCACGACCGCGGTTTCTTCTTGGTTTAGACTCGTCAGGTGGAGATAGCCTGAGCTGGGGTGGAACTCAGAGATTAGTAGCTCATGGCTGACGCCCTGAACACTTTGCTACTGAGATCCGCGAGCAACGTTTAGCACAGCGGAAAGTAATTCAAGTTGAATTTGGGAGCACACTGTGTGGTTAGGTTGCGACTTGCAACCTCTATTTAGACCTCGGCTCACTTTGAGTTAAACCTCGGTCATTCCGATCTCGAGGACCGTATCCTGAATGGATATGTTTAGGTGTTGCTCTTCCCAACACTGGCAACACCCAAATATATCTATCCACTAACATGTTATTTAACCAAGTGTCCGGAATCATCATAGAGGTAGGGAACACCTCAGCTACTGTGCCGCAGAGCACCTCAGCTACTGTGTCCGGAAAGGTGATGTCTAGTTCAAGGACATAAGCTGACTGTAGAGATTCACAAAGTTTGCATCAATAGATGTTTTGTAAATCTGACGGTGGTGTTTTGAATCCCAGTCCGAAGACGTTGTTTGCGCGCCGAGGGTGTGGCTGGAAGAAGATGGAGGTCAAGCGATGATTTAATCAAAAGGAATGAAAACCCTCACTTCGAACTTCGTGTCGGTTGTGATCCCAAGGACGGTGAACACCTTTAATTGGATGCACTTGTTAATATGGCGAAGAGCCTACCCCGATGTTGTTTCTATTGTAAGTTTCTTCGTCCGTCTCGCTCCCGCTTATCTTCCCACTCCAACCCCCACCTCATGCCCCATGCGTAATATAATGTTAAGCATCGCGTCGCTTGGTTTTTAGTTTTTATGTTGTATTCTGCTATGCTGTGTCTCGCTTTTTCATACGTAATAAAGCTCTATCTTGGGGCACAATAGCTGAGTTGTTTCTCACCTTCAGCTAAACTGCAATGAGGATTTTTCATATTTTGGACAATGACTCGTGATCTTGCTCTCGATGCTTCACAAACTCTGCTCGCCTGGATCTAAACTTGAACACTGCATCGCTGTTTGTCTTATTTTGAAAATCCGTATTTGTTTGTAAGCGTTACACTCGTCTGTTAACAGACGACAATTGTGCGTAACGGGCTATTTTCATCATTGCTAGAAGCGTCAGTTTTGTGTGTATTTATTTTCTATACCTACTATACGCACAATGTTGGTCATATTTTTCTTTTTACTCTGAATCTTATGCCCTAGCACAGGTTTACTCTTTAACTTACATTCTTTTTCAGCCATAGTAATACTGATATGCTTATTTTCGTAATTTTTCAGCACTACCGAAATATCTTGGATGATCAGCTAGATTTCCACTCATACTGCCTACGCAAAGGAACTTTGAGGGCGTACATTGAAACTTTGCGCTTGGAAGACAGGCTTCGCGATCATCCCTCCTATTTCGACGTCGCTCGACTAGCCATTGAGGTATGACCCTTTAGCACTTCTAGTTGGCACTTATATGGCTGTTTTTCTGTTCCGTAAAACTCCTCATCCATGCTCTGTCGAGAAGTTCCCTTGATATTCCACTTAGTAATAGGGTATGCTTTAAATTTCCACCGTTTTGTTAAACATACTGGCTTTGTAGACACACTTGTTTACCATTATTTTGAGCCATCTTAGGGCTTTGTAAGGTGGTGAAAACACTATCCATGCACACCGAAGGGCTTCTGTGTGCCTTTGTTTTGAAACTCCTCGCTTCTCGTCCCCAATTCTGCCAATAGACGGCCATACACTCGTATCACAACTGCTTTGAATTTGTGGCTATAAATTACCTCAACTGAGTGCCTTCACTCTCTCTGGTCAACAGCTCAGCTGTTGAAAATACTACTAGGCCATCTGCATCCAAGTGGAGACATCACATAAGCTTTTGGAATCTTCGGGTAAAAGTAGAGTTGAGTTGTCATCTTACTAAAATGTTGCTTTCAGTCTAGTAGATCGGCAACCAAATCGATGCTCATCTCTTCTGATTTTATGCGATGGCCTATCGGGAGTCCCCAATCGGTTTTTCGACCGATTTGTTACTCACTTTTGACCTCAGCTCCTTTCCGTAATCATTACGCATTTTATGCACCTTTAGGTAATTGCACCTATGTGTCCTGCCTTGTTCCAGATTTATTTACAGTTGCACCACAAGCCACTAAGCGAAGATGACAATGCCGCCAGTACTGACGCAGGTATGTGAAATCATACTTACTCAGCGAAACCTTAGCCATACATCGCAGGGATTTGTGTTTCTCTCATGTTGTATGTTGCTGCTCACTTCAATGCTTATTTCCTTCTCTGTTTCGTGATCGCACAGTTTATCTCAGTGTAATGTCCGCTATTCTACTAGCAATTTTTCACTGCATACAGTCCCTCTGCTCGGAAAGACTGTTAATCACTTTACTGTAGCCTATCTATATTGTGGTGCAACTCCGTGCTGCCAATCGATCTGGCTGCTGGCAACCTAACCGGACATGCAGTTGGCAACACAACGTTTTGTGGTTTCATCTTTTGTTGGACATTGTCACTGTCGTGGTCATATCGATTTCTACTCACACACTGTTTTATCTTTGGTATACTTTTTTGGTAGTTCCACCTACCATTTTCCATAGACCCAACCCCAGATGGGATATATTGCACGCCGTACCTTTTGTGATTGCTGTGGAACAGTAGTTTCTCAGCCAAACTCTTCTGCTTTACCATCCTAACTTTTGGTTATATTCTGATATTCAGTTAAAAGATTTCAGTAAGCAATAAATCGACATATTCCCCTGACTTATCATTTACCATCTTCACTGCCTATAACCGTTATTTAGGAATTTTCCTCTCTCTCTGTTTCATGAAGTTTGACTTTTCTCTCCTCAAAATAGTTTGCCTTGTCCAATCGAATGTTTACACGATCAGTTTAGGTGTGACTTTTACCAGTCCTTGAAGAATCGACTGTCAGTCGAACTCGATTTAGGATCTTTAGACCTGTGATGGATGCAGACTAAATCGGACATGCCGGACATTGGGAGCACGCCGTGGCGTTTTACTGGCGCTTCGTCACCACATGGCCGCCGACAAGGGATACTACAACTTCACCCGCATTTACACAGGCTCGAACTGGTGATCTGCGAATTATGTGGCAGACACCCTGACCAATTCGCTAACTTGAAGCTTTCGACGGGCGTCATTCTCACCGTATGGCATCATTGGCACTGCTGTTCATCCGTAACTGAATCGCCCACTATATTTATACACTTTTTGTCTACCTGTGTGACTGTAACAATCCATTGAAAGTTGAGATTCTGATGGCTTGGGTTATCGGGACAGTCACGGTGTTCCCCGTCATTTTTACACACCTGTGCATAGTGTTTCAGGAGTCCATTTACCACGTGATCTTGTTGTCATTGCAACAATGGTTTGCGTTTCCCGTGACCCATTGAGCTACGCTGGGTGGCACTTTCCAAGTGCTTTCAGGGCCACCCTTACCAGACAGCTTAGTGTTTAGGGGTCAGACTAACTCAGTCTCAATCCGATCCTCTACTGTGGTCGGGTAGAGTTCGATCGCTTTCTTCCTTGAATACCCAGCGGTGGGCGACAATCGGCCTACCGGTTATAGACTCACAGCTCAATTGGCGTAGAGCATGAGCGCTACTTATTTTCTCTGACGGTAGGAGAACACCGTCCGGTGCTCAGTGATTTGCTAGCGCCTGCCTCAAGCTAGGCAGTCCCTGGTCGAATTGGTGCAAAGCCGCTGACTTCCAACTGCAGCTGGTCCGGGTCTTACTTGCGCAACGCAATACGGTCGTAAAACAAGTTTGAACTGTTCTTACTCTTCAACGATTGTGTGTGACGGGCCTCAAGCTGATCCCGATGGATCTCTGCAATACCAGTCCTGAGCTGGACTTGCTCCCCCCTTCTTGCGAGTCAGGCTATTGTGCCAAAGGCTCTTTGTTTAGTCCCTCAAACCAACCTCCATGTACGCCACTGCCTTGTAGGTCAAACTGTTTAGTCGAAGGCTGGTGGCAGGACATGACAAACAAATACCCATCTCAGAGTGAGCAGCCGAAGTGTATCCTATACCCTCTCAACCACGTCGACAATGCTCCCTTTTCTTGTTTTTCCCTCTCGCCTCTCTTCCCCGCCTATTGAGCAAGAGACTGACGCTGACCTCGCAGCTGCTGCCATCGATACATGTAATTCTTCCACCAAACCTATCGTTTCATCACACATTGCTTATTTTAACGTCCGCACTCTAAGTCAGATCGGCCAGCCGACATCACTACTTCTCACTCTTCACTCTCTTGGTATTGATGTGTGCTGTGTCTCCGAAACACGCATACAAGATAACAGAGTCCTGTTGGATCTTCGACTTTCTGAATCTGACGATGATAGCTACACTCTTCTCGTCTTTGGCGATACTGAGTCAATGGCACAAGGTATTTAGGGTGTTGGTATTGCCCTCAGCAAACATGCTTAAGTTAATCTGCTGAACAGTCGCACTTGCGTGCTTCGGCTTGGAATCACTATTGAAGTTAGCAAGCAGCATCTGAAAACAAGGTACCTTTTCATTATCTCAATTTTTGCCACGACGGAATACAGTTCATAGGTTATCAAAGGCGATTTCTATCAACAACTCTCATCTCTTCGCATGGCGAAGAATACTGATATGTTGATTGTTGCTCGTAACATGAATGTCCAAGCGAGCCATCTTTCAGACTGAAGAACACCTGGGTGATCGCTTCGGAGTCGATGCACACCAAACAGTCAATGGTGATAGATTCCTGTAACTGCGCCGATCACAATCTTTATCTTATCAGCACTGTTTTCCGGCCACGTGGTGTCCACCGAATTCCTCAATGACCTGGACTCAAATTGACCCTATTACCAACCACTACGGATAGTGCATATCATTTCGATCTGCCTCCGCTACGGTCCCAGTGATCACATTGACCAGGGTTCACTTCAATGTGAATCGCGGTCCACATTGAGATTGCGCGTCTCAATTCAGTCACACAACATGAAGTCCAAAATTGACTGTCCAATTATTTTAATTATTGTTTGCATTTCCTTTGCTTTCCACATGTTGAGGAGGACTTGCGCTTCCTTATCTTCATATATCGCAGCCAATACTTCACATCCTGTACACATATGGTCGCTTTTAATTATGCTCTTTCACTCATACTCTTCTGCCTCGTTTAACTGATCCAATGGAAGCTGTCATCCGACCTAAGGCGTGTGTAACCGATTTTTTCTTTGTTCAGGTAGTGTCTCATCATCAGAAGCAAAGAAACTCCGCAATAAGCAACGCAAGGCTGCGCGTAGAGCAGAGGCAGAGGCTGCTCGCATCAAATTGGAGCAAGAGCGACGGGAGCAGGCTCTCCGTTCGCGCAACCCCGCTGGCGAAGAATCTGATCCGGATCGACCTACGAACCCCGACAGCGGTTTGGATCCACATACTTTGGCTCGGGCAAGTTAGCATCGCACCATTTTTTACCTTGTGTAAAGTGTAGTCGGTAAAAAGTACTTGGATGAACGGCTAAAATAATGTGTACCGAAAATAGTGAGTTGTAAGATACTCAGCTGTGTTTCCCCATCAATATGTTACCGGGCCGGTGGCCGAGTGGCATGCGCGTTTGGTTTGCAACCATTTGGTCACCGGTTCGAATCCGCGTAGGGGCTGGCGTCCTCGCGGTGTACTCAGTCCACGCGCGACTGGGGGTGCTCGCGTGACAGCGAAGCGCCGTTACGGCGTACAGCCGGCGATTTATTATTTTTTATTATTTTACTAAATAACGTCATATATTAACCTGCACTTTTGACATACTTCGGCTGTGCGCCGTCCTATTCAGGTGCCTTGCGTTCTCATGATCTGTAATCCACCAAGTGGGTGTCGAGGAACTTATTGAATTCCGACTGATTTCGTCTCGGTTATTGTTCCAACGTTTCACAACTCGACGCTCTAAGCATAGCGGTGAGTTATCCGCTTCACATCCGGTACCACAGGCTTGTACTAGTACCCGCGAGTGCTACATGCTGCACACACATGTGGAAGCTGCCTCATCACAACAAGGTTACCGAGATCCAATATCCTTTGCCACCTTACGAACTCATCTTGAAACCGGTGATACGACAGGTATAACTAGTCTCTTGCATCGGTCTACATACGAAAGACCCTGAAAACTTAGCGATTGGATTGGTAGCTACTTGTTGGTTCCGTTCCAATCTCTGCACCTCGCTATGGGTTACCAGGCAATAGTCTAGTGAGCCGTATACACCAGTGTTTAATCGATATTTGCTCATCTAGTAGTCTCATCACTCTCTTGTTGGAGCCCAGTCGTTCTGCTGAATTCCAACGTGTAACCGAACGACTGCTTAGGAGACGGTATTAGGTACGTCGTAACCCCCTGTCTGTTGTATGGGTAGTTGCCATTATATATTTCGTCTAACCACATACCATTCACTAACACAGTTTCTTTTCGCTGTCTTTTCCGAGCACACAGCTCGCAGTGAAGCTGAGTTCATATCATGCGGCCTCAGCACAGCCGACTAAGTGCTCCGCATTTCTGTTCACCATGAAATGACAGTTCATATCTCCTTCCCTCACTGACCACAACCGGTGACACTTCATCAGTGCTTCCGGGGTCTTTGTCTGCCCTCAAGTTAGTCATTGACGGAAAGTTCGCTGACGGGAATTTCGTTAAACCCTTCTCTATTCGTCGCCATGTTTCAGGATTCGCGAGATCAAACTTTTGAGCCCAGAATTGTGTGTAATGGCAACCTTAACGCTTATTTTCAGTATTGATGTCCATTGCTAACCCGGGATCCCACAGCACTCGTGTTCGCGGTCGCTTAGTGACATATATGAATTATTGTTTTTTCCTTCCTCAACGCGGCGCTCAATGCTCTGCGCAGCCTTGAATAATGCAGCTTCATCGCTGTTCGTTGATGTGCACTCATCCCTTCAATCGTTTCGCAAACAAGAAGCTCTTCCATCAACTATTAATGTGGTTACATGTATTGTTAAGAGTGGTTAAGCGATTTCAGAATGAGTGGCCATGGTTCAGCTTGTGCCAATTAGGCTGTGGATATATGTTAGTCTCTCTGTCAACCAACGTTCACTTAGTACAATTATAATCCCAGTACTGAATTGCAGTTGCCTTGATTCATTGTCCTAGGATAATAGTATTTTGTAGCTTTAAGGTGAGCTACGCACTTGAACTCGACACCAAAGTGATACTCGACAAATTTTCACCGGATGCTGCGCGACATATTTCACTTTGTTACTGGTCAAAAATCGCTAGCTTAGCTTTCACTCCTCTGGGCTCAGAGACGCGACCATCAGCGTAGTCGAATGTTACCATCATCATCATTATTATACACTTAGCTGCAGGTGGAAAACACCTCAGCTATTTGGCCGCAATACAAAGGACAAGTAGGAAAAAGAACAGTGGCACGCCGACTGAGTCCCCAGTAACAGACGGACATCGTTCCAGAGAGCTACCAGCCGGCCCCGACCTCAACGAATCTCGGCTTGCTCTTCACGAATCTAGCTTTCACGAGTGCCAGTCTGTGGAGAATGACAGACGCAAGAAATTTAGCGGCAATTGAAATCAGACTGATCCCTCTATGATTGCCGCATTCCGAACGGGAGCTTCCATTGAAAATTGGGACAATGGCGGAGCGGCTCCAGTCTGTCGGGACAGTCTCCTGCTCCTGAAGTTTCACTAGCAACTCATGTAGATCATCTAGTAGACCAGGTCCCCCAAATTTGAAGAGGGCTGGGGGAATTCTATCTGCCCCTGCGGCCTTATGCAATTTCAACATCCTGATCTCACTTTCGACTTCTGCGCGTGAGGGCGGATCCAAGGAGACAGCCCAGGGGAGAAGGGCGCTCAATGCCCGGAAAAGAAAGCGATAACTTGGGTTGGTTAAATTGCCTTTCAATGTGTTAGGCCAAACGCTCCAAGCATGTTGACAAGCTGTGGATCGACTGCCCACTCTCGTCGCGTATGGTCTCGCTTACACTAGGTCTCCTGCTGCCTGTTTCCCGTATCAGACGGAATAACTTACCATGATTGCCAACGATAGCGGCTGTCTCCATCTCAGAGGCATCATGAAACTACCAGACTTCGCTGCCTTTCTTCAGGCTAGCTCTTAATTTTGCCCTGATATTTTTGCGAGCGTCATTGTATTCGCTTCCAGCCGGAATACATCGGCGAGCATCCATGAGTTCCAGAGACTGTGTAGAGACCCAATGTCCAGTTTGGCAATTTGATTTGCTACGTGAAGATATGCCTGCTAATAGTAACCATTGACGAATATGCGACAAGTGATCTACGACGGTGTTCAGTGAGCGCATACTCAGCCCGGATGTCAGCGCACTTTGATACACATTCAAAACACCTAACTTCGCCAGCTGGCTGGTGTCCATCCGTCCACATTGACGTTGCGGACCTCCACCGAAACGTACCCGGAGGTCGGCGCAGACAATTGCGTGGTCAGAGTCAACGCTCATGCTCCAAATCGAGCGACAGTTTTGGACACAGCCCCTCCAGCGCTAACTGACCGCGGTATGATCGATTTGCGTCCATAGTTGTTCCGTGGCTGGTGGCCGCCAATTCACTCTTCTGCAGGTGCTGTGTTGAAAGGGTGTGCTCGCGAGTAATAGGCGCGCACCTTCACACAGCTGTAGCAAATCGTTCACCGTTACGGGAGCCTACACCATATTGGCCACTCAAATGAAGCACATCATGTAACAGTTTTCCGACTTGGGCCTTTAGGTCGCCAGCCAACACCACAGTATCCGTGCTTCTTCTGTAAAGAAGGAGATCGTTAAGTTGCTGATAAAAATAATCTTCCACCGAATCAGTGGTACAGTTTGTAGGGGCGTAGGCCGCAATGACAAACAGGCACTGTTTGTTTCCGCGCGACTTTGTAGCATGGAACGAACCAGCTAATCTAATGGCGCACATCCGACTGTTGACTGGGATCCAATCGATCAGGGCAGCTTCAGTCCGGGGATTCAAAACAATGCCGACGTCAGCTTGACCGGCATTTGAAGCTGCATCATCGCCAGACAGGCGCAATGAGAATGTGCCGCCAGTGTCGCGTGTGGGGGATCGCAGGGTAACCACGCAGTTGGAATCTTGCAGGCGAGTTTCTGATAAACAGCAGATGTCGAACGAGAGGGTCTCTAGTGTCCTGGCAAGTGCTACCTATTGGCCAATCTGTAGCAAAGTGCGCACGTTGAAGCATGCAAGTCTTAGCGAGACGCGAGGATTCCAAAGGGAAACGGATGCACTGACGTTGTCCGCTTAGTTGAACATGGACTTGCCGACTGTATTAGAGCGACGCCACATTCATATCTAGGTGAACATTGTTATTTTTAAATAAATTTGCTTGACTCGTCTTTTCGCCAATTGACTTGACATCACCAATTTACCAAGGTGTCGTAATGAGACCATGATTTTGAGCTGTTCTTATTATATGTAGGAATGCTTTGGAAAGGCCTTCAGCATAATGGACCGGACCGTTGGACAGGATCTCATTGTTTTCATCAGATGGCAAATGTTACTGGAGTGTTAGAAACGCACGTGAACTTTGGTAGCAGAATACTTCTTGCATCCAATGCGGTTTGACGCATCAGCAAATTTGTTGTTTTTCCTAATGACAGACCGTGCATCTGAACATTTATTGATCCAACGTTCAGTTTACGTTGACAGTAAGCTAATACAGTGGAAATACTCGAATGAGTGCCAAACTGCTATTTTCGTCCCACGGTTTAAACTGGAAGGTTTCTGCCAGGGCAATGAGAAGTTTGGTTACATGTTTTGGAAGGGCCGACTTTTCGAAGAGTTAAAATTTCCCCTTGGTTTGACCACCAATCCGGGTAGCATCGAGGGAAGAGAAGGTTATTTTTTTCGCGGGCTGACTAAAATAAAGTAAATGGTTCCCGTAATGCTACGAAAGACGTCTGCTAGGTTTCAGGGTGTTTAGTTTGTACGCACTCGTTGGTAACACATTTCATTCACTTTCTTTACAGCCCTGTAATCCCTTGGAAGAGGCTTGTAAGTTCTTGCATCCCCTGCTCGATTTATCACCCCAGCGAATTGAGGTGCACTGTATGGCCTATGAAATATACGAACGCAAAAGTAAGTTACCCCTGTCTTTATTTTCAAATCATTTGAAGCTGCAGAATCTTTGTATGTGGTATGCTAGTTGATGTTCTCACTACGTTGTTCTGGTCTTGTCTACTCGAGCTATCTACCGATCAGTTTTCCACTAATAAATGCATTGGGTAGTGATTCCATTTCAGTTTGTGCGCTGTTGGTCAGTGGACAGTGGTTCTCGCCGCTGTTTTCACTGCAGCGCCGTGCGTAGTACACTCCGTCGGCGAAGTAACATTTATGTTCACCTCCATATCTAGGACTGCTGCGAACCTTGTAAATCTGTTTTGTACGTTCTGCATTATTGCTTATCGAGCTAACACTATCTAAACGTTTGGACTTCATCACCTGACTTCCCAAAGCGAAGTCCCTGCGCCACTTGGATAAGCTGCACTTCTCGAGAAATGATGCACATCCTATTTGATTGTCTCATCGTTCCTGCTGGGATGCGAAGGACTACCTCATTACGGGTGCACTGTTCCGACGCTCAGTCACTGCGCCTGTGAATCAGAAGCAAAAACAGCTAAACTAAACTGTCAACTTGAATGACAAGCCTAGTTGCCCCTTAGCCTCGGCGATTATAATTACCATCCAACAGGCGGGTGGATTCTCAACAAATAATAATTTGGTTACAATCGATGCTGCTCGTCTATCATGCGGCTTGTTTTTGAGCATGTTCTTCAGTACATTGTTTATCACATTCCTTCGCAACGAGTTTGGACCTTAACGTGGTGTGACGGTTTAGGTACATCCTCGACCCACTGAGCCATGATGAGTGGTGCGCCAGAGCCTTTTTAGCGCTACTCTCACAATGTAAGAGGTCAGATAGTCTCCTGGTCCTCCAGGTTGGGGGTTGGAAATACAGTCGCGTTCATTTCTGTAAAACTGTATCGTTGCCATTTCCTTGTCTTGCGGGCACCTTTTTGTGTCAAAGGCTGGTTGAGGGCACTAATCTTTATCCTGTCGAGATTTGGGTGCCATGGCAGTATCTCAGCCTACATACAAATATGACGGTTTCTTCAAACTCTAACTGCGTCTTGCATCGGCTGTCGCGCAGATTATCAAGGGTCGTCTTTTCTGCTGCATACATCAGGACAGATAAGCGAAAGCTGTTGTGTTTCCGCTGGCAGTACGGATAACCGAGACAACCACTGGGGTCACGATACAGCCACTTTTCAAATCAGAAGACAAAGGTCTCTGGTGGAAATTGCTTAGAGCACCCGGAAGACAGTAAATACTGGCAAAATACGGGGTCAAAACAAATTGTTCATAATGACCTAATTGAGAGTTCCTGGCTCTAGCAACTGCTAGCTACGCAATAGCTCGCTTGTTGGTTGTTCAGGTAGTGCGCTTACTGGAAGGTTTCAAGGCGAGTCATTCTCATTGCTCCATTTCAGGGTCAAATGATGCGATTAGCTTACTCTCATTGGCTAGACACTGAGCAGGTGGCGTGACCAGTCTTCTCCGAGCTGCTTTAGAGAGAGCTGGCTTCAAGGGCAGCTACGGACGGGCGACGTACAACTTCCTCCTGAAATCCAGCTGCATTCTGACCATGGATCTCCGTATCCACTTTCTCCATCGTGGCTGCGTGCTTGTTCCTTCTGTGGTCACCGACCAAGGCTCTTTAGTTCGCTCCTGATTTCCAAGGTATATGTTGAAATTGCCCAGCAAAATATCCATTGGCAGAGACCGGTCACTAGTACTTATCTAAATGCTGGTAGGCCGTAGCTAGTTTGCGTATCTGGTCTAAGTCATAGCACCCACTCAAACTTTGTACTTGTCCAAGTCTGTAGTCGGTCGTGCCTGTATCCACTGTTTTCTTCCAGGGCGATAGTTTCTGACTGAAGCACGCTGTCCTGGGTGAAATAGACGTAATTGCCTCCTGTGCCGCTGATTGAATTAATTTTCCACTCTCGCGTTCCTCTCTTGCGTACACTTCGGAAGCAGCAAACAGTTCAGTGTACGGAGTTTTCTGTCCATCAGCGCTTCTGCTGGGGACGGCTGATTTGGCACCTGGGGGTTCGAAGTTGATCTGTAAAGTAGAACTCATCCAATATTTCTTTGGTAATTCCTCCTTCCTTCATCTTCAACAGCCTCTGTTTAAACCTATCAACAAAGTGCTCCGCTTACCCGTTGGACTGCGAGTGGAACGGTGACGAGCGTAAGTTCGTGATGCCGTTCTGCGTTCTGCAGACTGCGAAGATGTGAACTGAGAACCATTGTCAGTAACTAGAGTCTTTGGTATTCCATGCTGCGCGCAAACTCTTTTTGCGTTACTTATCGTGTATTCCATGCAGAACACTTCCAGCAACACTTCCAACAACGATTATATACTATTGTCCATTCACGGGACCAAAGACATCCGCGTGTACTCGATCCCATGGTTTCGTTGACAACGGCTCCGAGTCGATATTCGGTCAGTAAACGTAACTCCATACAATCTTCATTCTGGCAATGCCAGGGTGTCCAGCATGAAACTGCCGAAGAATTCTTTGGCTAAGCTCCTTGGGAATAACCCTTTCCGCCAAAAGTAAGGATCCGTTGACGATGGATACTTTGTCTTTTCCCTGGAACAAACTGCTATTCCCCATCTAGCTTGTCCTTCGGCCACTGTTTAGTATGAAATCTGACCACTTGTTGTGGGACAGGATCCCGCATTGATGCATCTCGTACCAACTCATAGATACCGGAAGCTCCCTGAGTCTTTCCAACAATACCTGATTCACTTCAGTCTCCAGAGGGATCGCTGCAACAATAGGTTCTTCTTGCTAACCGTGCTGGCTTTCCAATAACCAGGAAAGTACATCGGTTTGGTCAATTTCCTTTGTAAAAATGTGCTTCTCCGTAAAGTTGTAGCCGAGTGATGTAGTAGCCTACCGCTGCAATCTGTTTATCCTATAGACAGTGATGCCCGACTTTGATCTGAAAATTGCCAACAGCCGTTTATCGTCAGTAGGAAGTATAAACTTCCTTCCATACAGCATCTTGTGAATTTTTTTTACAGCGGGAAATGTCGCCACGGCAGCTTTCTCTCTCTGGCCATAATTTCCTCTGCAGGAGACATGAGCGGGCTACGTTTACAGTTGCGTTTTCTGAGCCATCTGCGAACTTGTGGGCTATGACTGCACCAATGCCATGGTTCCAGGCGTCTGTGGCCACCGCAAGCTCCAAAGTAGGGTCATAAGGTGTCAGCAGAACGTCAAATGAGCTCTAGCGTTCTTCAGATCAGTTACAGTGTTTACTCTTGGTCAGTAGGTCATTGAGTGGACAACATAAGCGACGTATGTGCGGTAGGAATGGGCTTTAATGACTTATGAGTCCTAGGTAGGACATTTGCGTTGCAACATTTTTGGGCGGCGGCATCTTGATTGCCTCGATGTTCGCCTGCCGTTTCTGTCGATTATAAAATCGAGAAACGTACTCGGGTCCATATAGAAGGTACACTTCTCAGGTCGTAGTCTGAATCTATAATCCTCAACACGGTCAAGAACTCGACCTAACTTTTCTACTAGGTCATCAACACTGCCTCCGACAACAGTGATGTCGTCCAGGTATTCGGCTGCTCCATCGACATCTGTCAGCATTGTGTCCATGATCTGCTGGAATATGGCTGGTGCAGTCTTGATTCCAAACGGGAGACGGTGATGCTGGTACAAGCCTTGATGCGTATTGATGGTAATTCTGGTGAAGCATATTATACCTGGATCTACAGGTATGAATCAGAGAGATCCAGCTTTGCGAAATATTTACCTCCATTCAATTTTGCGAACAAATCATCTGGACGCGATAAAGGGTATTGATAGGCATTCAGTGTAGCATTTAGACCTGTCGAGAAATCGACGCATATTGGAATCTAACCGTTTGGCTTTTTGACCACAACAGTGGGTGCTGCCCAAGATGAGTAGTTCACCGGATGGATGACCCCTGCTTTCTCTAAGCGATCCAGCTTCTGGTCAACCATTGGTGCTGCGGCGTAAGGTACAGGGCGTATTGTACAAAACACTGGAACGGCATCGGCTTTAAGAGACTCTTGCCGAAGCATTCCCGAAAGCTTGCTGCTTATTTCTCCCGTAGGCGCTCGATGGCTACAGTTTTAGTGGTTGTTGATTTGTTTATCTGGACACGGACAAATCTGACTGATCGGAACATCAAGTAGGTTAAAACGCTCGATTCAGGCCAGACCCAGAAGATTCAAATCCTTGTGGCTCGGGACAAAAATCCCCATGCGGTAAAGTCAGCATAACGACCCTCACATTCGACTTGACCAAGCAATTTCAATTCGACACCTGATGCGCTCTTCGCCTTTTGACTGGATGGTTTGATATCTCGCGATTTGACAATCCACCGCAGCCTTTTTCGATATGATCGTGACATCTGAGGCTGTATCGATCTGCAAACGCGCCTGTCTTCCGTTGATGTTGCTACTTTTTTGCCATCTCTAACATCATCAGTAAAGTTGGCATTCACTCTTTTCGCGAAATAGCCGTAAATTTTCATGAATCGGTCTGAAAGATGGTTTGAATCTGCAGTGAGTTTCTTTGTGCCCACGTGGCAGATATGCTTGTTGAATGAACGCCATCTAACAAAATGTCAGTTTCCGCACTGCCAACATGCTGATGGTGGCTTACCTTGAGGATCTTTTCGCGATCACTTCCTGGAAATTTGTTCCTCCAAATCTGTTGAACTGCGAAGTCATTGGAATGCGTCTTGGTGTCCTCGTCCATCTCGTGTTTTTAGTTGATGACTCTCTAGGCATGTGCAATGACAGCTTGCATTGTGACGTCCGAATCTCGCTCCAACAACCCTAGTATTCTGGTCCGGATCTCTGCATCCTTGGGCGATTGCGGGCTGCATCCCAGTATCAGACACTCAAATTCGTTTACAGTAATTGATTTCAGCATGAGTTTCTGGCACTCTCGCTTCACTATTGCTACATAGGCAATGAGACTGCCGCTGTCCATTTCGCACAACTTCAGGCAATTGTA